ATATATAACATTTTATGAGCTGCCCAGTTGCTCAGATGAGATACGCAGCCATACAAATCAAATAATAATAATTTTACATATCACACACATACATACATTTATACACACACATGCTTTATCTATACTTTTTTTATAGTATATACTATAGTTTTTTTACACAGATATATACTCATATAGCTATGTACTTATACTTTTCTACATGTGTCCACACAACACACACACCTATCTATATTTATGCTTTTTCACATATTACATGTGTTTATACATATACCTCTCTATGTATTTCTACTTTACACACACATAACTATAATTTTTCATTTTACATATATACACACACTTTTGTTTTTATATATCATGTATGTGTACACATATAAGCATGTTTGTATACTTTTTAGCATATTCTAATGTGTACACACATATATACACAAATGTATATTTAACATTTTACATGTGTACACACGTGCATGTTTATCTATATTTACTTTTCACATATTACATGTGTGTACACACCATATACCTCTCTATGTATCTATATTTTTCCCATTTTACACATATGTACAGACGCATTTATACTTTTTCACATATTGCATGTATATACAGACCCATATTCCCCCATATATCTATGCATTTATACTTTTGAACGTGTGCTTACACCCAGCACATACACATATACCTCTCTAGGTATTTATACTTTTACACACACACGCACCCCTATACTTTTTCCCATTTTACACATATGTACAGACGCATTTATACTTTTTCACATATTGCATGTATATACAGACCCATATTCCCCCATATATCTATGCATTTATACTTTTGAACGTGTGCTTACACCCAGCACATACACATATACCTCTCTAGGTATTTATACTTTTACACACACACGCACCCCTATACTTTTTCCCATTTTACGTATGATTACACACAACACCCCCCCAATCTATGTATCTCCACTTTTTACATACACCCCCCCCCCAACCCCCCCCCCACACACACACACCCCCCCCCCCACACACACACACCCCCCCCCTCTCTCTGGGTCCACTGGAGGCCCTCCCCTCCCCTTCCCTTCCTTCCCCTCCCTCCGCCCGGCTGGGCCT